CATCAGGAACTAGGATCTGCTCTCTCTTGGCATTGCCTGACCAGGCCATGGCTCAGGTATCTGACACCTGGGGCAGAGAGTCACATGCCAGGAAACTCTATACACTTGGGCCCCAGGTCGCAGCTTCCAGCTGCAGCAAGCAAACTGGACTTCTGAAGGAGGAAGCGGTTCTCCAGAGCCCACTGGCAGGGGAACTACATCCGGGGAGAAAGCACAGGAGAGGATTCTTGCCACCAACCAGGTGAGAGGCAGGAAGGAGAAGGAAGAGGAGGGAAGATGAGCAGGGCCAACCAAGAGCACAGAGCTGGGGAAGGCAGAGCAGTAGATGCTTCCAGAAAAGAGGGTTGACCAGCATAGAAGGCGGGGCCAGAAGTACCTGTTACCTACTTAAACAGTCTAGCTGCACACCCTGGAGTTCTATCACTAATCGGTCACTCTTGCCTTTACATTAGTGCCAACCAGACCTCCTGGTATTTACCTGGCCTCCCCCACAGTCACACAGGCACGTGAAGGACAAAACTATTCATTTCAAGAAGTAAAATTACTATAAAAGCAGAAGCAATAATCTAGGACCTCCCAGGCCCATCTCAACAGGGCAACGGGACAAAGGGGCCTCACAGATTAACCTCCTAGAAACAATAGAACATTAAAATGTCAAGCCTAAGGAATTCTTGCTCTTAGAATCCTGTTGAAGACAGACAGACATACCTACGGTGGGAAAGGCCCCAATGGAGAGTTCTGGCCCAAAGAGAAACCAAAAAGGGGCTCAATCAGGAGAGCACTTCCCTGAGACGTAGTATTCTAACTTTGCTCTTCCTTTATAGGATCTTCCATTGCGCAGATTCTCCTCGGCACAAGGATTATGATCATCTGTGACCATGCTTCTACTAGCTCCTCGCCTCCTGCCCCTCCTGCTGGTGATAGGCACAGGGGCTCCCGTGCCCAGCCCTCACACACTGCCCCAGGGATGCTACATAGCCGAAGAAGCCGGCGAACAGACATTCCGCTGCAGCCGGGCTGGCCTGAGTGCCGTGCCCAGCGGCATCCCCAACAACACCCGAAAGCTTTACCTGGATGCTAACCAGCTGGCGTCACTGCCAGCTGGTGCCTTCCAGCACTTGCCTGTCCTGGAAGAACTAGACCTGTCTCATAATGTCCTTGTCCACCTCTCAGGGGCTGCTTTCCAGGGCCTGGAGGGCACTCTACGCCACCTTGACCTCTCTGCCAACCAGCTAGCATCCGTGCCTGTGGCAGCCTTCACGGGGCTGCAGATCCAAGTGAACCTGTCTGCCAACCCGTGGCGCTGCGACTGTGCCCTACAGGAAGTTCTCAGACAGGTGAGGTTAGCTCCAGGCTCCGGGACAGGCATCGTGTGTGGTCCAGGAGCCCGACCAGATCTCGTGGGACAGGAGTTCCTTCTGCTGACTAGGGAGGAAGAGCTGTGTGGGACAGGACGAGGTGGGACCCGAAGGAGCACTGATGTGGCCCTGCTAGTTACCATGGGAGGCTGGCTGACGCTGGTAGCGGCTTATCTGATCCACTATGTGTGGCAGAACCGGGACGAGACCCGGCGCCCCCTCAAGCGGGCTCCTGTGCAGCGTCTGGTGCGCTCAGAGGACTCCTCCACCCTCAGCACAGTGGTCTGAAGCATTGCGCAGTGGTCTGCGCTCTTGGCCTTCGCTCGCCTTTCTCTACTCCTACGGCATCCCCTACCCCATCTGCCCTCTATCCCTGCCCGCCTCCCTCAATACCTTCTCTGGTTCACTTGTCCTCTCTCATTCTCTTACTCTCTCGCCCTTTCTTCTCCAGAACACTACCTTTGGAGCCTGGATTTGGGGGTACCTCCTTCTATACCTAGGCTGTGCTTGACTCAGAGAATCCAAAATTCCTGAATCCACCGCGTGGGAGCGGGGGTGGGGGTGGGAGTCAGAATTAACAACCATCTCAGTCGGCAGCAACGCAGAGGGAGAAGCCAGTAGTTTCGGAACATAGGGGAGGATCCTGAGCCTGGGCCTCACCGTACAGATGTGGGTAATGACGCCAAGGATGACGGCTTTGAGGGGAGCTAGGGAGATGGTTCAGTCAGTGACGTGTCTGTCCTGCACGAGGACCTGAGCTCAGATCTCTAGTACCTACTTAAAAGCTGGACACAAGCTGGGCGTTGGTGGCGCACGCCTTTAGTCCCAGCACTCAGGAGGCAGAGGCAGGGAGATCTCTGTGAGTTCGAGGCCAGCCTGGTCTACAAAGCTACGCAGAGGAACTTGTCTCAAAAAAAAAAAAAAAAAAAAAAAAAGCTGGACACAGGATGGGTATCTATAACGCCAGTGCCGGGTGGAGGGATGGGAGTGTGGGAGAGAGACAAACAGATCCCGACTGGCCTAGCCAGTCAGTAAGCTCCAGGTTCAGTGAAGCCACTGTACACTGACCGGAAATAAGGGGGAGAGCAATTGAGGAAGGCATTCAATGGCATGCATCAACCTCTAACCTATATACACACCTACATGAACACACACACACACACACACACACACAGAGAGAGAGAGAGAAAGAGAGAGACAGAAACAGAGACAGAGACAGAGAGAATGAGGGCTTTGGGAAGGAAAGAGGGAGTATACGAAAGAAAGGATGATACAAAAACACTTGGAGCATGTGTGTGACAACCCTGGGAGTAGGAGAGGGTGTGGAGAAGGGTGAGGAAGTGCTGGAAGCAATCAGGAGATGAAACAAAACGGTACAGCCACATTGAGAAGGGCCTCTGGGCTCTTCCCCTCTGCTCCCTCGGCATCCTCTCCACCTCCCTTCTTACCTCTTAATCCCAGGCATTCTCCTTGTGTCCTCTACCCCAGGACCCCTTACATCATGGTCCCCTACTTCCTTCCCCAGAATTCCCCTGCTCCTCTCCCCTCTCCTTTATACACTGACAGTTTTCCTGAGCTGTTCCCCTTTAGAGACTGAACTAGGGATGGATGACAATAATTGGGGGCAGAGCAGAGACCCCAGAACATCACTGAGCAACTCAATTAAAAAACAAACTTTTATGAGCATCCTTGGTCTCTTTCTGGTTGTTCATTTTACTGAACATGTGTGGTCTGGCATGGAGGAGCAGAATGTGGAGCCGTAACCACCACCTCCCCCCCCTTTGTGGAGTGCTCCCACTGGGCTACCTGCTCACCCATCTCTCTTCCTGCTTTGGCCCCTGACATTAGAGTCCAACAGTAGGAGAACTAATTAATCAATTATTAATTAATGAACTAATAAGAACGGAACTGGAAGCATGCGGAAGTCAAGAGAGAAGGTGGCCTGGCTTCGACCCTTCCTTCAGCTCTGCCAGGAATCGGGGAGAACAGAGCGGGCCCTAAGATGCCACAAGTCCTGTGAAGCAGGTGGGTGGCTCCCTGATGTTACACACTTAAGAGCAGCAGAAAAGAGAAAACTAAACTTTTCCAAGAGACACAATATGTCAAAACTAACCTCTTCCACTTGGATGTACCAGAGCCCAATTGCCCAGTCTCACTCTAAGGCAAAATTCCAGATACCTTAGGTGGAGGCAGGCCCCACCTGTTGTGAACAGGCAGCTTCCTGAAGTCGGCTGCCAGCGTAGAGAAGAAAGGGAGAAGAGACTCCAGAGCCTTCCCCCGCTAGCTTCACTCTGCTCCTTCCTCAGAGAGCCCCAGGAAACTCAGACCAAGAAAAGAAAGTCTTCTTGTCTGGGGAGTTCTGAACTGAGCAAGCTAAGCCGTTCCCCAGACTAGAGACGGTTCCCCAAAGCCTCATTATCTACAAAAGGGGCTAGGTAGAGAGAAAACCTGGAATGCTGAAGCCTATGTCCACAGGAAGTGAGAACAAGACTGGAACCCAATCTCCTGCTCTGGTAGAACATACACCCTTCCTGTCCAAGGGACGGAATGAATCGATGGGAGAGAGGAGGGTAGCGCCAGGGGCGCAGCTAAGAGGAAAAGAGGGTCCCGGCTTCACCCAACCAACCACAGGAAGCTAAAAGAAAAAAAAAGCCAGAGCAATTGAAGCTCAGATTGGACAAAGGTGTGGAGACGCTTGGACAGGGAGGAGAGACAAGGCCATAGGGACACTCCACGCCAGACCTGCCCTGCCCATGGTTCCCTTCCCAGGGGTGGCAAAGGAATGAAGGGAGACAGCAAGCCCCAGAAAGCCTAGGCTTCTGTTCCTGGAGTAGAAGCCCTATTAGAAACCAGTGGCTACTGCCCGGTACCCAAAGCTCAATCTGGGCGTGAACACACGGGGTTTCAGGTGCTAGAAGCTGGGGTGGAGGATGAACTGCGATGCTGAAGGACTTGATTCCGCTAGCGGATTTCTTACTAAGGGAAAAAAGTACTAAGCCGGCCCCAGCGTCCGGCTGCACTGACTGGGGACAACGTGACAACCAGAGAGAGGCCGTAGGCGGAATGGGAGGAGCTTGAATGGAGTGGGCGGGATTGCGTGGTGCAGGGCGGAGTAATTAGGGGGAGGGGGGAATGAGCTGGAGGCGGGGCCCAGGGGGTGGGTGGGGCCCGAGTGGGACCGAAGTTAGGTGGGAGGTGGCACTGAAGCAGGATGGGGGCTCAGCTGAGTTACCCAGACAAACAAAGAACCGTAGCATAACAGCATTGAGGACCGCCACTGGTGTGGTGACCCGGAGCTGGACGGTGACTCCAGGACTGGGGAGAAGCAAAGTGGATACTTAAGACGACTGGGTGCGTGAGCAAATTGAGAGCATGGAAAGAGGGGGGAGGGAACTACGAGAATGAGAAGGGAAGAAGAGGAAGGATGCAGAGGTCATGAGGGAGCAGAAAGGTTGTGTCAGGTGTGGATTAGAAGAAAGGATAAGCGATAGGTAGTGTTTAGTTGGGGGGGTGATAGGGGAGGAGGGGCGGGAGACGGGAACTGGGATTGTCATGTAATTCAATCTTGTTTGTAATTCAAATAAAAAAATTTAAAAAAAAAGAATCATGAGCAATTCCAAACTTAAAAAAAAAAAAAGACGACGGGGTGCGGGGCTGGTTATCCAAAGGTATGGTACAGGCTGCTGGGGCGGGAGAAGGGCTTAAATGAGGCCCTAACTGAGAGATTATCTTTAGCCTCCGTGAGAGCCTGGAGCTTTTGCCCTTAGGAATGCCCACTCACCTCCCTCCGGAAGATTCCTGTTGCTCGAACTGCTGAAGTATCTCATCTGCCTGGTGATGACCCAATTGGTCTTGGGAGGGAGGCCTGGAGACAGTCCTTAAACAGCCTTGAGCAGCTGCTGGAGACTTCTAGCAAACTCTACTCCCAGCTGTCGAGGAACGTGCTCCACCTGCTGGGCTCTGCGTGGTCAGGGTCAGAAACGAGGAGAGAGCAATCCTCTACGCGCTGGGACTACCAGGATAGGCATAGTAGCACGAAACAGAACCTACTGCATAGTTTGTAGGTCTTAATGTAAAAAGAACGTGCAGAGGTATTTGTTCAATAAATAAACAAAAGTAGGCTGCAGAGGACCCACGGTTTAATTCCCAGCCCCCACGTAGCAGCTTCAGCTCACAACTGTAACTCCAGTCCCCGGGATCTGACGCCCTCTTCTGGCCTCCGTGAGCACTGCATGCACATGGTGCGCACTCGTACACGTGAACTAAAAATAATAAACAAATATAAAAATAAAAAAGACGCCGGGCGGTGGTGGAGCACGCCCTTAATCCCAGCACTCGGGAGGCAGAGGCAGGCGGATGTCTGTGAGTTCGAGGCCAGCCTGGTCAGAGCTAGCTCCAGGACATCCTCCAAAGCCATAGAGAAACCCTGTCTCGAAAAAAAAACCAAAACAAAGACAAAACCAAGACACGGTGGCATACGGCATACGTTTATAATCCTAGCAGTGGGAGAGAAATCTGAAGTGGGAAAACCACCACGAGTTTGAAGCCAGACTGGGTTATATAACGATACTCTGCCTCAAAACAAACAAACATATTTTTTAAAAGAGTTAAACTGGTCTTGCTGGTGCACTGCAATTCTAGCACTTGGGAGGCCAAGGCAGGGAGACCAGAAGAATTCAAGGCAGTTAATGTGGAGACTCATCGTTGGTAAAAAATGCTCAGACTGAATGACTCGTGAGTGTTCAGCCCTAAGTGGGATATCGATATCACCCCCACTCCAAGGCTCCAGAAACATCATGGAAGAAGGGGTGAAAAGATCGGAAGAGCCAGAGGATGGGGAAGGGTGCTATGAATGTCTTCTGCACGTGGCATGTCATTGCACCCATGAACTTACTCAGCAGTGAGTACTGAAATAGGACCTGCACAAGATTAAGCCGGCAGCATCAGCCAGCATCCCACTGAGCAGCACTAAGTGGACTCAGTCAGGGAGAGAGAGTAAGGACATGAAGAGTGGGGAAAGGGCATGTTGGGGTTCACCTGGGGTAGTAGGAAGGGAGAGTTGGAGGTGTATGGCCAAAATACATTGTTACCAAGTACTACATTGTCAAGCCAGGCATTGGTGGAGCACGCCTTTAATTCCAGGTGGATCTCTGTGAGTTCGAGGCCAGCCTGGTCTCCAGAGCCAGTGCCAGGATAGGCTCCAAAGCTACACAGAGAAACCCTGTCTCCTCAGAAAGAAGGAGGAGGAGGAAGCATGAAGACTAGAGTTTGCAGCCCCAGAATGTATG